ATTAAGACTTAAAAAATTTCAATTTTTTTTGATACTTCAATGGAGTGTCATACACTCTTAAATGCAAGCTGCTTTTTAAACTATGAAGTATTATGCATGTATATTATTATATACTAAGCAAAATAGTTGCTAAACTTCTGAGACCCAAAATGAATGCCTCTTCATTCTCTTCAAAATATAGTTTTTAAAGTTCTTTATCAATTAAATGGAAAAATGTCAAGATGTTTGAAAGCTGATAAAATAATGAATGAGCTGATATAATAATGAACTTCACACAGTTTTCAAGAAATACTAGATTCATTGTACTCTTTGCTTCCTTCTTATCCTAAATGTAGAGTCTCTATTGAAAATTTGTTTAAATTGACTTTTAAAAAAAAATTTTAAACTGTTTTGTCTCTTTTAGCCTCTTAAAACAACTGAAAAAGGCAATTATAGGCAAACAATTATAATGGTGAAATGCGGCATTAGAGAGATCTGATCTCTGCTTAAACCTAAATTTATGCTGCATTTATAAAGATAGCTCAGAATATGAATCTAAAGTTAGAAGCATGAACACAGGAAATATGTGAGTGCTTTTTAAAAGTACTTTTAGCTCAACAGGTAATCAGTTCCTTAGTTTCCCAAACTCTTCTTTTCTGATGATGTGAAGGGTAGCAATTTTTCTAGCTTGGTAAGTTCTAGTTGGAGCTTTGATGACTTTCTGGGTCGATTACTTTGCTTTTATTCTTAGCCCTGGACAGATCCTGACCAACTACTTCACAGATGCACATTGGTCTCATATGAATAGATATATACACTTATATTACTACCATTATGAAACCATTCAAAATACATATTCCCAGACAACTCAGTAGCAGAACAGCATATTATATCTGAGCTATCCATGAATGCCTATGTCACAGGCAAACATCATCTTGCAAGCTATAGCATTTTTTCCTGTTTTTCTAGTCCAAAAGTTCATGTGACTATGAATAAGAGGCCTATGTTTTTTAAATTAATATTCTCTGTCTGAGAGTCATTTGATAGGTGTGTTGGCATATATTACCTTGCTGAAAAAAAAAAGGAAATTGCATCAAAAGTAAATATTCACTGAATGTATCTTTCTTTTATATGTAATAAGCCTACTGTTAAAAGTGCATGTGTGTAAATTGATGCTGTAAGTATATCTAAATCTCATGTACTCTGACTACATTTATTCACATCACACTAATTCCGAGCATTGACTTCTGAAGATACCGATTGAGATGGTTGTCAAACTAGTTTCTTAGTACTTTAAAATTGTACCTAATTTTCCCTTTATAATAAAGTATATTCTTATTCCTTTGTAGTAAAACATGGCAAGCTGATGGAAAGGAATAGGGAAATTTTGTTTAATTTGTAATGAGCTTCACAAGAGGTAATAAGTAAATGTTCAGAGAAAAAATTTTCTGATTAATTTAGGAGCCAAATTATTGGCTTAGCTTCATTAACTAGTAGATTTCAGGGGACTCTAAGCTAATGGCTGTTTTGGTCATCTGAATTTTCTAGGCTTTTTTTTTTTCCCCCAGTGACTGCATATTACCTGCATAATTTTAAATAGAAATTATAAATAATGTTTTAATAATTTTAAAAAATGAACAAAACTGAATCTCATTGATAGAGAGATCCCATGTAATTATTCTGAAATAAAACTTTATTTATCTCTGTTTATGTCTATAGACATACATATACACACACGTGTGTGCCATCCCTAAACTGTAACTTCTTTAGGAGGCAAGCTATTTATTAATCTCCATATCACTTCATGGAGAACATGACCCACAATAGAACCTAAATAAATATTTGTTGTATGAATAAATGAGAATGGTTTACAACCATTATAAAAAGTTAATTTTGGGGCCTCCCTGGTGGCCCAATGAGTTAGGACACAGGACTGCAAGCAAGCGCAGCCACTTCAGTGCGAGTTCAATTCCCGGCCCTGGAGGTGACCCACATGGCACAGCAGACCTCTCCTAGCCCACCAACTGCTCCCCTTAGCAATGTACTTTGTCTGTCTGCCTGTTCTGCTCCCCACTCTGTCTCTGGTGAATCCTTTCACCACACCTACAACTCTGGCTTGTACCCCAATTCTGTATGCATTAATAAATAAATAAATCTTTTTTAAAAAAGTTAATTTTGAGAATCATGTATGTTTTTTAAATGTTATTTTTAGGCATTTGAAATTTATACCTTTGAGAATAAGAAATGTAAAGTATACTCATTACTTTTTTATTTTTTAACAACTTTATTGAGATATACTTAACATATTTGTACATTTCTAAGTTTTGGTTTATCCCCAGTATTTTAATCTTTATTCTCATAGTTGTAATGGGAGAAAAGGCCATCTGTATATTTTCTGATTAGTTCTTATGTATGAAATCTCTGGTTACACATCTAATATTGTCATTATAAATTCATTTAATATTTGATTAATGTATGTTATTCTGTAACTGAATTATTTTCTTGTTGGTAGTGTTTTCTTAACTGAGCTGCACATTGTATTATCTTCAAATAGTCATAAACTCTTGCTATTTTTTATGCCCTTATCTTTCTCTCAAATCTTCTACCATGTTAATAGCAATGGTATTGCATGTATCTCTGTCTCATTCTAGAGTTTAGAAAGTAAGGCTCATGTGTTTCCTGTAAAGTATTTGCTGACTTTTGGTGAGCACACAACCAAATACAAACCTGTGTGATTAAAGAAACCTCTTCCTGTTTTACCCAGCAAGGATAGTTGAATTTTGTCAAGTGCCTCTTTAGTGTAAATGGAGAGATAAGGTTTTTATCTAAATTTCATTAATAGAATATTTTGGCTTTGCACATTTTAAAATGCAGTCTCAGCTTTCTAAAGTTAATGCCACTATTAATAACTAATGTTTCATAAAGCAGGTTAAAGTTTCTGCAGTTTTTCCTCTGTGTGATTTTTTTGATTATTACACAATTCCATTGCATATTTGCAAATGTTGCCACAAATGGAACTCTCTTTTTGTTTAAAAGCCTACTAAAATTAAACCGCTAATTTTATCTGACCAATGGCTGAAAAGTCCCATCAACATGGTTAAAGAGAGAAGGCTGCATCTGAGCCCGCCTTTTAATGGTCCCTATTTAAGTTTTCTTATTATTTTTTTTATAAGATCCCAAATAATAGTAGAAGGAGATAGATTATGGTGTAGATGCAAGAAGCAAAGTGTTTGGTTTAATTAAACCTACTGGAAAGACTCTAGGTAAGTTAGAGATTTCAAAGAAGTACCATCAATTGAACATTGTCTTAATATATTTGCTTCATCATTCTTGTCCTCAGAGAATTCACTGCCTCAAGCAAAACTTACAGCAGGTCATTTACTCCTGTACCTGTTGCTCCTTGAGCCTGTTGAGTACTGAAACGTGGCTAGTGATGTACTGTAAATATAAAATAAACACTGACTTTGAAAACATGAAATGGCTCGTTAGTAATTTTGTATTGATTATGTGCCAAAATGATTTATTTGGGTGGATAAAATGTGTCAAGATTAATTCCCCCTGTTTCTTTTCACTTTTTTTTTTTTTTTAAAGATTTATTTATTTGTGCATACAGAACTTTGGTACAGGCCAGGCCAGAGGTGCAGGGGCAGTGAGAGAATTCACCAGAGACAGAGTGGGGAGCAGAAACAGGTCGACTGTCGAAGTACACTGCTGAGGAGAGCAGCGGGCGGGTCAGGAGAGGTCTGCCACGCCATGTGGTCACCTCCAGGGCAGGCAGGGATCGAACTCATGCTGAAGTGGCTTTAGCTTCTCAGTGCTGTGCTTTAACCTACTGCACCACCAGGGAGGGCCCTCTTTTCACATTTTTAATATAGTTACTAGCACATTTAAAATTACATATGTGGGCCCTCCCTGGTGGTGCAGTAGGTTTAAGCACAGCACTAAGAAACTAAAGCCACTTCAGCATGAGTTTGATCCCTGCCCGCCACAGAGGTGATCCATATGGCATGGCAGACCTCTCCGGACCCACATGCTGCTCCCCTCAGCAGTGTACTTCAACGATCTGCCTGTTCTGCTCCCCACTCTGTCTCTGGTGAATCCTCTCACTGCCCCTGCATCTCCGACCTGTACCCCAGTTCTGTATGGATAAATAAATAAATCTTAAAAAAAAATTAATATGTGACTAATGTATTAGCCATCACTGGTCTAGTAGGTGGTATGTGTAACTTAAAGACACCACATTGATTTTCATAATTTAAAAAGGTGAAGTTAAATAAACTACAGTTATAGCTTCTCTTTCATCTTGTTTCATCCAGAGGGAATAAACTTTGATGTATTGTAATCTTATCATACTCCATTATAAGATTATCTCCTCTGTGATGCTTCCATTTAACTGTATATTGTTAAAAAAGAAAAAAATTCAGTGCCTTCATTATGCCTTTAACATTTTCACCTAAATTAAAGGCAATAGCATTATTGTGTTTTGAAATGCTGGCTTTCAAGAACTGAATATACATATATTTTAAGATTTATTTATTTAAGCGTAGAGAACTGGGGTACAGGCCAGAGGTACAGGGGCAGTGAGAAGATTCACCAGAGACAGTGGGGAGCAGAACAGGCAGATCGATGAAGTACATGGCTGAGGGGAGCAGCAGGCGGGTCAGGAGGGGTCTGCCACACCATGTGGATCACCTCCGAGAATGAGGATCGAACTCATGCTGAAGTGGCTTTAGCTTCTTAGTGCTGTGCTTTAACCCTCTGTGCCACTAGGGAGGGCCCAAGAACTGAATATATTTTAATAGAATGTCCCTACCTCAAAATAATTTTTTCTTGAGCATATCTTTCCCTTTTCCCCCATTACCCTAAAAAGGCAGTTCCTATACTCAATTTTTTAGGTAGAGCTTTTAGTCATAGCCTAAGTGTTTTTGAATAGTTCATCTCTTAACTTTTACTCTTCAAAAACAAAAACAATTAAATTTCTCCTAAAGCCTTTTTTATCTTGGCTTTGTTGCATTTTTTAGGAAGATTATATCACAGATGATATTGGAATATCGACTTGGAAGGAGCAGACTTTTCTCTCCCATGGTGCATTATTAGCAAAGAGCTGCCAAGCTGCAATGGAATTAGCCAAGCATGATGCTGAGCTTCAGGATACGGCATTTCAGTATGGGAAGCACATGGCCTTGAGTCATAAGGTATTTGCATATCCTTTCTCTCTTTCCAGTACTCAACTAAAGTGATACACAAGAAACCTTTTGCCATTTAATAAGTTGCCTTTATATCTATTTTAAAATGTTTATTGTGTGCTTAAAATCTGTCATAGATGGTGAGTGTTATGTAATGTGAACAGTATGATTGGTTAGTGCTGTGTCATTTTGATATCTCTGATGTTTGTCTTTTCTTACCACCTAGAAAGATCCTTGGAAAAATTTTGTAAATTATTGAATAACAATTAATATTGCTCTTCACAAAATGGAAGAATATTTTCATTTACGTTACAGTTCTCTTGGTTTCTTATGTAAAGCAAATTGTGTACATTAATGACATTTACAAATATACTGATTAAAATAAAAAACTTTAATTCTAATGACTCTTTTGCATGCATACATTGAAATATAAAATGTCCTGAAAGTAGCTGTTATATTTTTTCCTCTCTATATATGTAATTTTAAAATTCCATTTTAAAAATATATATACACATGTCTTAGATGTTAGTTAATAGCTCAGGAGAGCAAGGAAAATATATGGATGTATATATATATATCTCATATGAGTTTTTTACATATTTTATTAAATTGTGGATTAGTTTATTGAGCAGTTATATCTGTTAAATCTTTTTCTGGATCCTTATCTTGAATTTAAAAAGAAAATAAAAGCTCCTGCCAAAAACAAAAAGGAATGTGTTAGGAAAAATTATTTTAAATAATTTTAAAGATTATTGTTACCACATGAACTGTTCTTTTGCTTACTAAAATACATCTAATAATTACATTCCTTAAATTTCACCTTATACTGTATTAATTTATGCTTTCTGAATGATAAGACTTCATCTGAATGATAAAGTCTATATGCATTTCACTGATTCAGTTCTTTTGACTACTCCCTCTAGATAAATTCTGATCTCCAGCCTTTTATTAAAGAAAAGACCAGTGACTCCATGGCTTTTAGTCTAAACTCAGCTCCTGTAGTGTTACATCAGGAATTTCTTGGAAGAGATATCTGGATTAAGCAAATCAAAGAGGTAAAATGAAATCACTCCTATTTTAGATACCAATACTATGTAGATTTTAGAACATGATTCATGAACATCTGAGACTACAGACCCACCTTCTAAGAGCATATCCACAAAACAGGTAGAGTTCTTTTTTTTATAATTTTAAAGAGAGAAGATATTAGATGAAAGTTAGAGACATCAATGCTGTTTTTGTATTATCTGAGTATTTAGAATACTGCAACAGAAAACTAGTGCCTGTGGTATGAATGTTAATTAACTCGGATGATTTTTTTTTTTTCTTTCTAAAGGCTCTCAAAAATTGGGCTATGGTAATAGCACACCACCCTTTAACTGACAGTAATTTCCCATCTGTAGACTCTAGCACACGCTGCAGAATTCCAGGAGCTCCGTCTGTCGACTCATTGAGTTATTTTAAAACAACTTGGACCCTGAATACTCAAGTTCTGAGACATTATCAAAGAAAAAACATGGTGAAGTGGGAGGGATAAAAGAATTCAAACTAGATAAATTTCCTATGGGGTGGGGGATGGATTTTGTTGGAAGAAAGTTAAACAGAATTTTCTTGGTTTTCTTTTAATCAAAAAGTTCTTGCCCTTTTATCCAAAACTAAATGAATTTTATTTAACTTCATGTTTTCTAACCTACTGGGTTAACCTGAGACTGTGCACATGGGAGTCAGGCACAGCTGAAGATGGGCCATACTTAAAGCTGAGAAAGCCTGAGTGCATTCCAAACGAGAGTATATTCTCCCTCCTTATGCTCTTCCCTATGGACTTCCAGGGGAGAGAAGACGGCTTAAAAATTTTCCAGAAAAAGGATCCCTTTCTGGAGAAACTGTGAAACTCAGGAGGAAAGATCTACAGATGTGAATGTTTGAGGTTCCCTCAGTAGAAGTGCCATATCCCTCACCTGCCCTCCTGCAAGGAAGCCCACCAGTTGACAAGCCTCAGAACATCCAGCTGAAGTAGAATAGGTAGTAGAGGACCACTAGGCATCAGAGAAAGCTTCTACAATGAAAGAATGAGCCAAAAGCAAGCTGACTGGAAAGACATTTCAAAAATACTATAATCAGTATACTCAGTATATATAGAAATAGAGATTCCAAGAAAAAGAAATCAAAATAATAAAGTATAAAAATTTGAAATCAAAATTTCTAATACAGATGACTGAGATACCTAGGAGAAATAATTTCAAAGAAAACAGATGGAACTGATGTGCTTGACCATATTGAAAATTTAGGGGTAGATTAATGATAGGAACTTAAAAAAAAAAACTAAGTGCCCCAGTACCTATTGCTGCATAGTTTATTACTCCAAAACTGAGCTTTTAAAATAAACAGTGTGTGTGTGTATGTGTGTGTGTGTGTGTGTGTGTGTGTGTGTGTGGTTTATGTGTATAGTGTATATAATGGTATAATGGGTTTTGTGGGTCAGGAATTTGGATAGTGCACAGGGAGATGTCTAAGGCATCAGCTGGAAAGATCCAGAGTCTAGAGGTTTCTTGATGATGCTGAACATTGGAATCATCTGGACACTCCTTCACTTATGTCTGGCACCTGGATGGGGTATCTGGAAGACCAGGCTGCTGATGAACCAGAATGTTCATGTCTGGTTTCTGCATGAATTTGGCTTCCTTCCAGCATGGCAGCTTCAGCATGGTCAGATTCCTTTCTTGCTGGCTCAGAATTCCAAACACATGTTTGCCAGCTAACAAGACAGAGGCTACGTCCTCTTTTATGGCCATTCTCAGAAGTCACTTCCACATCATTTACATGTCATGATCTCTTATGGAACTAGTCACAAAAATTTGAAAAATGAGGTCTATGGTCCCACCAAAATCAAGAGGAGAGGCTGGAGACTTCATGTATCAGTGGGATAAAGAATTCTGAGATCCAGTTCCTAAACAGCCACACTAGATATATGGAGCAAAGTGAGGTAGTTATTATCTATAATGGAAAAGTTAGACATAAAAGAAATTAATCATAATACTCTATATTACTTAGAGAATAATACTTATGTAGCATAGAAATGTAAATACTAAATTCAACCAAGTAGTGGGAAAGTGTGTTTGATCAGTTAAGAAATATAATGCCGCTCCTTTCCCAGTTCCTCAGAGGAGCAGCTGATGGTGACGTCTTCAGTCCAGACTGTTTGTCACTTTTGGGCCAACCAAGGCCATTGCAGGTGTTAGAAAATACCAAAGTTGGGGCCCTCCCTGGTGGAGCAGCAGATTAAAATGCAGCACTGTGAAGCTGACCACGGCCGCTGCCATGCGAGTTCCATCCCTGTGCCCAAGGTGACCCACATGGCGCAGCAGACCTCTCCTGCCTAGCTCACTGCTCCCCTCAGCAGTGTACTTCATGGATCTGCCTGTTCTGCTCCCCTCTCTGTCTCTGGTGAATCCTCTCATCGCCCCTGCACCTCTGGCCTATACCTGTTTAGTATGCATAAATAAATCTTTTTTTAAAAAAGAATTTATAAAATAAAATAAAGAAAATACCAAAGTTCACACACTCATAACCTAGGACTACCCTCCACTGGCATCCCTATGCTGTTCCTGAGCAGCTGGTAGGATGTACCCTACCAGCCAGTTATTCAGCAAAGGAGTTTGACGAGGAAAGGCACCAGACTAGACAGGTGCCCTTACCAAAATAAAAAGTACTTAGACAAGTACTTCTCTCGGTGTTGTGATGGAAGTCAGTATGTTTATTTCCATGGGGAGAATGAAACTACTTTCTGAATGGTGGACATAAAACACACACACAAAAGACTGCCTACTGGCAAAACTGGATGCAGTATGCACAGAGGAATGTCTGCAGAGACACAGATCAAGGGAACACATTGTAAATCACCCTGCAGACTCTGCCAAAGAATGACAAGCAGAAAGAGAACTCAAAACTGCAGGCAAAAATTCCAGAAACAATTTGGAGTGAGGCAAAAATGGGACCAAAAAACTCACAAAAACCCTGAGGTCCATAGTACAGGAAGGTGAGACAGGAAATGGGCTTTCCTCAGTTTATGACGTTGTACTATGTGAAAGTATTAGAGCCACAGGATATGGAGGGTGATGGGGCCCTAGCTAATGATGATAAAGCTTTTGATCACATCACCCTAAGAATGTGAAACCTCTGTGGAGCACCTTCCACTCTGTCACCAGCACCAACAACCGTGATATCCGAAAGCTGGCAAAAATTCAGGGAAGTGTGTTTGCCACTGATGTAATTCTAGCCACGCTGATGAACTGTACTGGCTCTGCATATTCCTGAAACAGGGTGGTCCAGAATGTTGGGTCCAAGCTCTTGTTTGACAAAAGGGGCAACTCTCATACTGATGTCCTGACAGTGAGTGAAACAGTCACGAATCTTCCTCAAGCCAAAATAATTCTTTCAACTCACCCCACATCATGTCCATGTCCTGCATCAACTACACCTTCTCCCAGCAGCACTTGAGGAAGAAAGGTACAATTTCCCCCACCCAAACCTGTTTCTACAGGAGAACATGGGTAAGAATGGCTTCACCTCTAGTGCATACATTACTGCAGTAGAAGCTTGGAAACATCAGTCTTATTCATTGTGAGCATGACAATGAATAAGTGCCATGACTGGAGCCAGTGAAATGTCCTTCGCCAACATCAAAATCCTCTGTGAGTGGGATTCTAGACATTGTAATGGCAGTGACTGGCATTAGAAGCCGAACTCTCAGCAAGGGGCTGTCATTGCTACCAAGCTAAAGAACAACAGCTGCAAGTGGGCCTGATGGACCTGCTGTGCTTTGCTGGCGGGGCCCAAAGACCTCAGGCTTGGCCGTGTGCCCCGGCACCACACCAGCTCTTGTGTGCCCAGCAGCTCCAGCCCAGTGAGTCTGTACCACGTCAACTGGAGTGTAGCAGACACCTGGGGCACCCTGCGCTGGGTCATCAGCATCTGATAAAGCTAGAGGAGGACAGGTACCTTATCCTCAGTGGCCCAACAAGCAGGTCCTGGACATGCACAGACTGCCCTGCAGCAACTTCAGCTCTGATGTGGTGGGAGAGGAAGGGAAAGGAGAGGAAGAAACTTAAACCAGATGGTGATATGGTACTGGCGTTTGTAATTCCGTCAAGCCTAGAAGTGCCTTGGATGCCTCACAGAACATTTGTTTGATTCTTACTCTCTGAAGTTTAGAGGTATGGAATAAATCATAAATCTATTTAGTTTCCTTAAAAAAGAGGTGATCTAATGATTCTTTTCATGATAGGATCAATAGATAGTATCTAAAGTTTAGAAATCAAGTAAGAAAAATATTTGAAAGTAAATGGCAAAAGAAACAACTAAAGAGAGGGAACAGAGAGAGTTCTGGAGAGTGCTAGTTGTTTTATTAGAAGTCCTGTATTATGGGCCTCCCTGTGGCGCAGAGGTTAAAGTCTCAGCACTCTCAAGCTATTTGGAGACATCGGTCTTATACATTCTGAGCATGACAGTGTCGTGACTGGAGCCAGTGGAGAAATGTCCTTGCCAGCCAGAGAGTTGACCCACATGGCGCAGCAGACCTCTCCTGTCTCACCCACTGCTCCTTTCAGCAGTTTATTTCAGTAGATCCACCTGTTCAGCGCCTCACTCTGCCTCTGGTGAATCCGCTCACTCCCCCACCCCGCTTGGAAGCCTCACAGGCATCCAACCCCCCACACCTCTGGCCTGTATCCCAGCTCTTGTATGCATAAATTTTTTTTAAAGGGTCAATTACAGACCCTCCCTGGTGGCGCAGTGGATTAAAGCATAGCACTAAGAAGCTAAAGCCACTTCAGCATGAGTTTGATCCCCACCTGCCAGGGAGGTGATCCACATGGTGCGACAGACCTCTCCTGACCCTCCCGCTGCTCTCCTCAGCAGTGTACTTCGTCTGCCTGCCTCTTCTGCTCCCCACTCTGTCTCTGGTGAATCCTATCACCGCCCCTGCACCTCTGGCTTGTACCCCAGTTCTGTATGCACAAATAAATAAATCTTAAAGGAAAAAAAAAAGGGTCAATTA